TTTGCCATCGCTGTGTGAAAGGGTGAATGTGGCACGTAGTGTAAAAGCACTTTGAACTTGTCGGAAGACTAGAAAGGTCCATTTACCATTTACTCAGAAAAAGTAAGGCCAGTCCAGTAGAGCTGGAAAATCAAAAGATTGTGTCTTTAAACTCCAAGGTTTGAAGAATGTCAATACATTTATTGATTGTCAACAAATGCCTGTTGTTAGTCCTCATTCTTAATGAGCCATTCTGGGGGAGGGTCCTAACATAATTTGGGGGCTCGTCCAGAATTTGAACCTAGGCTATGACCCTCCAAAGGAAGTCTGCGCTCTGTCAAATAATTAATGACAGCGGTTACCGTCTGAAGAACCTGGGTCCACTTTGCCACTGTCAGCTGTTATAACTGATCCTTTCCTTCTGTGATCAGATCAAATAGAGCCAGTGTTTTGTTTGTCTTATCTGGGCTACTGTAGAAACATGGCGATTCAACGTGGTGAAACATGATTTCACCTTGTTTAGCTCACAACACTTTTTTCGTCTTATGTCATACCTCTGTATCTTCCTGTTTCAATGTGTAGTGCTAATATACCACATCTTAACTGTGCACAGAGTCATCTCTGACTTTTAGACAAATTATACTCAACATATGTTTCACATGGAAGGCGGTCCACGGTGTCTGTAGATATAAAAGGCTCTTTCTAAGGTAACAAATTCACTGGAATAAACGGCCAAAAACACGTAAATACCAATGGTGGTAATATATTTGTATATGGGCAGATACTGTTCATATCCAGAATATTATAGACTGGATCTTTGACAGATTTTATTAAAAATTTTATATATGATATAATATCATTTGATATACAGATCAGGATACATTTTCATAAACTTGGATACCATTAGATCTTTCCAAATACAGGCTTTTTTGTCCAGTGGAAAACAAAAATGTTCAGGTGATTATACCCCCTACAATCACGACGTTCAGGTGATTATACCCTAATGACAAAATATTTATGCAGATATTATTCTATTTTTGCGTAACTTTAAGCTTGTGACTGGATAATTTGAATAATGTAAACTGGTCAGAAACACGAGTGAGAAGTATTGGAGGTGAGCGAATGACTGGATGACACAAAAATTACTCTTATTGTCTCGGAGCTGCTAAACATTGTATGTTTGTTGACAGTTGCGATGCCAAACATGATCATTTCTGACTGTTGCATCACACATTATTTTACTTACTTATACTTGATTCCCCTGAAGATAAAATCAAGTCTATAAAACGTTGCAACAGAGGAGATCTTCACTGAAGCTGGTGGATTTTACCAGCAATGAGCTGGAGACACAAGACAGAGAAGCCAAGAGATTGAAACCAGAGACGCTCAGAGTAGGTATTACTGATGTCTAATGAAAATCAAAACATATGTTAAGAACATTTATCTCTTTAGTCTTCATTTTTTAACTTTAATGATTTGTGAAATCTCCTAGAATGATACTTTTGTGATTGTCAGAGAGGAAATTTAGGTTAAAAAAGAGAAAAACAGGTGGGGGTTGCCACACATATATAGAAATATTTATACACAATAAAATGTAATTTACCAAAACCAAAATTGAATTTCTGATCAAAGTCAAAATGTATGTATAGAATCAGAATCAGAATCAGAATCAGAATTATGTTTATTGCCAAATAGGTTTTTACACCTACGAGGAATGTGACTTGGTGCATTGGTGCACCGCAGCCTCCTACCAGAGGGAAGTGAACAGTCACTTATTTAACTTTCATTGTTACTATTTTCATTACTAAAATAGAGATGCCTATGAATGGACAAAGCTGCCGTTCTGTTGTGGTTAGCTGTACACTTGTACGTAACTTACATTATCAGTGATGCCTAAATTGTCAGGGTTTAAATTTACAGGATCTTTTGTTCTTTCAGGTTGATGGAAAACTACACCTACAACAGCTTCACATTACAGCTGGAGGGGTTCGATGTTTCAAAGGGTTCTACATACCCCATGTTTCTTTTTCTCCTTTTCTCCTACTTGTTTATAAGTTTTGTAAATGTTGGTATTGCCGTTCTGGTTTTCATAGACAAAAGCCTCCATCAGCCTATGTATCTCCTATTTTGCAACCTGTCAGTGAATGATATACTTGGAAACTCTATCATGGTTCCCCGTTTGCTTGTAGACATGTTGCGGCCTCCCTCTGAGCGTCTCATCAGTTATTATGAATGTGTGGTTCAAGCTTTCACCACGCACATGTTCAGTACCACTGCTCACACAGTGCTCATGATTATGGCCTTTGACAGATATGTGGCCATTTGTAATCCCTTGCGCTATTCTTCCATAATGACCAACAAAATGCTGATGAAGCTAACAGTTTCTGCCTGGGGAGTGGCCTTCGTTTTGGTCGGGATTCTACTCGGCCTGACCATACGACTGAACCGATGTCGGACTTTTATAAAAAGCCCTTACTGTGACAATGCTGCACTGTTTAAGCTCTCCTGTGAGAGTGTGTTAATTAATAACGTTTATGGCCTCACTTTCACTGTAGTCCTTTTCACAGGTTCTATTGGCAGCATGGTTCTCACCTATACTAAGATTACAGTGGTCTGTCTGATGAGTAAGAACAAGTCTCTGAACAGTAAAGCCCTGAAGACCTGCAGCACTCATCTGGTTGTGTATCTGATCATGTTGCTCAGTGGAATGTCTATCATCATTCTGCATCGCTTCCCCCAGTACTCAGACTACAGAAAACTCGCTGCTATTCTGTATCATATCATCCCTGGCAGCCTCAACCCCATTATTTATGGTATGCAGTCAAAAGAGATACGGAATTTTTTGTCTAATTTGTTTGAATCCAAGAAGGTTTTGCCATCATAATAAAGGAGATTTGCAAGGTTTATTTTTACATTTATTACCACATGTAAAAATCTGTGTTCCTTTGTCTGAATACATTTCTTATTCTAAAACAAAACTCAACAAAAAATAATTGAATTTGGTGTTGTTGGGTCAAACATGGAAAATGCAAAATAAGGGCAATTACAAATTGCATTTGTTATGAAAAGTTGAACCAGAAACATTATTGTAGTAGGCTATTTCTCTAAATATGCAACAGAAAATATTGACTCCCCGCCAGTATTTGATTCAAGACAAGATGAAAGTTAGGAAGGAGATGATGCACAAGCAGACACACACAACGTTGAGTGTTAGCTGGATGGAGAGTCCACAAATCCAACAATCTATAAGGTTCTTACAACACACCAGAACGACTGGGTCAGAGCATCTTCAAAACTACAGCTCTTGTGTAGTGTTTCCGGTCTTCAGTGGTCAGTACCTATCAAAAGTGGTCCAAGGAAGGAAAAGAGGATCTGTGACTATGTTAGGACATTTAGTATATTCAGTTAACATTTTGAAAACCATATAGCAGATGTTTTGTTAATATGTAGACCAGCCTACAAGGTTTTTATTTCTTGTAACTGGCTCCACCTGAGAGGATAATAATTGTTAGAAGCTTTTATCAGTAGGCATACTTTCAACAAAATAATCAATAACAGACTTTACATTGCCAGACCTTTTCCACACTTTCATAGGTGTAGATTATAGATTATTCATTTGGCCACACAGTTAGATAGATTAGTGGATAGTAGACAGACTGGGAACTTTATTAGCACTGGTGGCGTAATCATGGGTGGATATTAGGACCAATAGGTGTGTTTACAGATACCCTGTTGTGCCAGTGGAAACTAGACATAAAGGCAAAAAGCCAGTGTTATGGCTTCCGTTACCTTCTGCCTAATGCACCTGCTGATATACAGCACACATTGGCCTGTGTGTAATAGATTAATAGGTCAATGTTTTTTTTGTGATAAAAACTGATTGTCATTTAGTGTAGCCTGACTCTGCACAGACATATCCACACTTGCTTAGGGTTGTACAGAGTGAGTGGTGATAGAAGGGGAGAGAAGGGGTGTTCCTGGTCTGCAGTGGTCAGTACCTATATCAAAAGTGGTCTAAGGAAGGAAAAGTCGTGAACCGGCAACAGGTGTGGTCCAATTCAACAGACAAGCTAATGTAGCTCAAATTGCAGAAAACATTAATGCTGGTTCTGATAGAAAGGTGATAGAACACACAGTGCAGAGCATTTTGTTGTGTAAGTTTTGTCTGAGTTTAACATCAGAAAATTGCAGGTCATCCAGGTCCACAGGGCATGCTTATAATTTAGCTAATTGATTAATTTCATCAGACTTGATCAATAGATACAACTGGGTATCATCTGCATATCTCTGTCTCTGTCCTCTTTTTAACTCTCTACCCTCCTTCTCTCTCTAACCCCAACGTGCCTAGTTGTCTACCCACCTAGAGCCGGGGTCTGCCTCTTAAAAGGACGTTTTTCCTTGCCACCGTCTCCAAGTGCTTGCTCATAGTGGGAACTGTTAGGTCTCTGTCAATAATGTTATAAGGAGTACGGTCTTGACCAGCTCTACCTGAAAAGTGTCCTGTGATAACTTTTGTTATGAATTGGAGCTATGCAAATAAAATTGAATTGAATTGAATTGAATTTGAGACCAAGAAAATCTCACTATAATAAAAACAATTTCAAAGGGTTTTTTTTTGCAAGTTAATGAGTAACTAAACATAAATTATGTTATTATAAAGGCCTACTGTATTCCATGAGCGTGTGTTTGTCCCTTTTAAATATGAGTATATAGGCAACTCATGACAGTCTCTTTACATTACAGCTTGATGATGAAAAGGTAATAGGGATAATATCTACCAAATGTGATGCCCGTCTTGGTCAAGAGCATAAGAAAAGAGGGAGTACAGGAAAGATTTTTGTATTGACAATAGCTCAACATAAGGAAAAAATGTTGTGTTAAGTCAGCAGTCGGTGAAGTGTTGGTGTTGGAGGCAAATAAACTACCTAAAACTACCTCTAACATGAAAATGAAGACAACCAAACAAACAAACAAAATGTATGAGGTTAAAAATCTTAATATATGGATGTACGAGGATCACAAAGTCTGTACTATCTTTCATAACAATAAAAGTAAAATGTATGTGGCCTTTGAATGTGCCCTAAAAGACACAGTTTTGGTTATTCTGTCCTCTATCATTTAATGAATGAATTGTGTATCCCTTTAAGATTGCATCCCCAGTAATATTCACACAGCTTGTTGACAGTTGCTATGGTCATCATAATCTCTTAATTTTGCATCACACTTCACCTGTGGTAAAATCAATGTCTATAAAAGAATGCAATAGAGGAGATCTTGATTGGAGGAAGTGGTGGGCAGTACGTGGGAGACACAAGTAAGAGAAGGCAGATTGAAACCAGTGACAGGTATAAGTGAGCTAAGAGACAATTTATTTTTTTATGATGTATAATCAGTCAAAAGAGAATGTTTGCCTCTTCAACTTTTAATCGTTTTACTTTAGTGATTTGTGGAACACCAGAGATAACACCAGAGATTGTGAGGGATTAAATTGAGCTTTCACAGTGTATATAGGTATAAAGAAATTCCCTACAATCCGGGGAAAGTTGAATATTTCAGTTCATGACTTTTCAGAAATTGGTGTCTTATGCTTGGTTTTGATGCATGGATGCATTAACATAATTTTGTTCTTTCAGGTTGATGGAAAACTACACCTACAACAGCTTCACACTCCAGTTGGAAGGGTTAAATGTCTCCATGGAGTCCGTCTACCCTGTCTTTCTCTTTTTATTTTTCTCCTACCTGTTAATAATTGTTTCGAATGTGGGCATTGCTGGTCTGATTTTTATTGACAAGAACCTTCACCAACCTATGTATCTCCTTTTTTGCAATCTACCACTGAGTGACATCATTGGAAATTCTATCTTAGTGCCCCGTTTGCTAGTAGACTTGTTGCAACCTCCGTCTGAGCGTCTCATCAGTTATTATGAATGTGTGGTTCAAGCTTTCACCACGCATATGTTTGGTACCACTGCTCACACAGTGCTTATGATTATGGCATTTGACAGATATGTGGCCATTTGCAATCCCCTGCGCTATGCTTCAATTATGACCAACAAAATGGTGATCAAGCTGACAGTTTCTGCCTGGGGAGTGGCCTTT